CTGAATATTAAAACGAAGATTTTAATCGAGTAAATAAATATTAATAAATGAAATAGATGAATAAATGGCTATTGATTTATGAAAATCAATATGCCTTAACGAATGAGGCAGAGGACGTTACCAAACTTTCAGGTGTAGATTAGATAATACTTTGGCTTCGCTCCCATCACGTTGCAATGTGCTCCACTTCCAGATCAGATGGCCCGCATTTTAATTTCCTACTTTTAAATTAATGCATATTGAGGATCTGAAAGGTCTAAATTTTTCAGTCAGTGTTTCGTGGGGGATATAAATAAAATTAAAGACAGAAGTAGAAAGTTTAATAAAATTGGCTTATGGAGTTTGGAAAACATTTGCGATCAAATAATTAAAATCAATTCCTTTAATGTACATAAGGAAAAAACAAAAATAAAATTTAATGAAAATAAATTAAAATCCTAAATGATTAAAAACTAGTATAACCCGCGCGAAAACTCACTTATTATGTATCTTTATTTTTCATAATACATTAGAAGAATAAAATATATTAAGGATGCATATTCATTTGTATAAATAATATAATAATTTATCAAGAAAGAATATTTAACACTCATAATTGGTGAAGCAGCATGCTCTATTCGAATTATTGCATTATCGCTCTGTTATGTCATGTTCATATTGTGGGTTTGTATTAAATTATTACTGATAATGTAATAATAATAGTAACAGGCTTGTCCCACCGAAAAATATCCCTTCAGCTAAGCTACAAGGTTTGGTGAAAAAGAGCAGAACAATAGGGTTCAGTAGTTCTTTTGTTGATTAAGGGTGAAATTTATCACTATAATTATTGTCCACGAGACAGAATATTATATATGTCAATAAATAAATAAAAAAAAAAAGAAAAAAAAAAGAGTGAAATATTAGTTAAAAGGCAGACCTCGATAAGGAACCAATTACCACAAAAGCGATATTAACACGATCATTAAAATATTATAATAATGATCTATATTATATTTAAACATTATTATACAGCATTTTTTTTCTTGTTCTTTCCTACCTAGCCTTTTTAGTCTATACCGGTTTTTTTCCGAGCCAGGGGGCAAGGGCGGGGAATTTAAAAGACCCTCAGCCACCAGGACGAGAACTTGTAATTTTATTGTCTACAAGTTTGGTTATCATATGTTGCCATCAAACGCTCGGTGCTAAGCACATGCATTAGCACGATCGGCCACCTCGCCCCTCCCTATTATACAGCATTTAAATAGTAAACATTATATTATATATAAATGTTAACCATTATTAAATTAACTATTAATTTGAGTGGATAGCATATGTTTCTCTCACAAAAAAAAAAAAAATAATAAAATAATAAAAACAATTTGTGAAGAAAAGGATATATTTTATGCTATGTTATATATAGGATCATTTGATGGGTTTTAAATTTACTACAAATTCATCGAAATCCAACTAGATTAGAAAACCGACAGTGCATTCAAATTTTAGTTAATCTTCTAAAAAAAAATTTTAAGTAATTCATAATATTATAATTATGTCATAATGTAATATTATAATAATATTTATTTATTAATAATAATATTTATGTACCATTGTCTAAGTAGTGAAAGAATGTTATTACTCAATACAAATAAATAAATATATATTTGGTATATATTCTAACAAAAAATGTATTATTATGCGAAAAACAGATTGCCATTTACTCAATAAATTTTTATTATTTATTATTATTTTTTCATTAAGAAGTTTCTACATTATCCGACGTGCCCAAAGTATCACAGAGCATTTCTTCTTTGTTTTTTTCTTTTCAATGGATTTTTAATTTGTAACATAGACTATAACGGAGAGTAATACTTTAGTTGGTAAAATGATATACCATATGCTGTATATAAGAGGCAATTAGTAGAGTTAAAGTGGTGTTGAGCGTTATGATTAATTTCAGGACCTTAAAACGTATGCCCATAAGAACATTTTAGCAATTACATCCTTTCTGGATATTTCAACGACCATGAATTCAATTTGTTACGTTTGGAGTGAATTATTCTGCCATTGAGTGAATCTTTCCTCCATTGTAGTATTATTTACTTCGTGACTTTGGCTTACTTTCAATTACTCTTACTTTATTTGAATATAGACTATTCTTAGGTTTTGATTGAATATATTACAGAAATATACAAGTGTGAAACTAAATGTTCCTGATCCTAATATTTACGTTTTCATGAAAATAATTGAAACACTCAGCAGGTTTCTTTAGTTTAAACGTAAATTTTAGACCTCGAAACATTTATTTATTCCTGTTATAGAGATCTTAGTAAAAAATACGTTTTCATTATGACTTAAGATGACGAATAATAGAAATATCATTATTTTTGACTCTTGGATGTAAAATTTTTGACACAAATATAACACAAAAATATAAAAATTTTTTACACAACTTTAGCTGAATCTCTAGTTGTTTTCCGGTAAACCCCAACTTAATATGGTTAAAGCTTATTAATTTAGATCATTTTTCTAAAATTGGGGTATATGTGGTATAGTTGGAGGATGATAAATAAAAATTCTCAAGTAAATTACGTTTTTTTATCAAAAACATACTAACGGCTCTTTATACTAACAGTTTATTTCTAAACGTCTTAGTTCAGCCGTTTAAACTTCTTCTTTAGATGATCTTAACAAATGGAAAATTCCATTTTCGTTTGAAGTAAATTTTGTCTAGTTTAAAGTTAAGCAAATGTTAATTACTAAAATTAAGTATTACTTCAGTTATCCCATACTATTCAACAAAAACTATGACACTTTTTGAACACAAAACTGTGCCGAAACACAAAACTTAAGTTTCCTTCTATTCTGCTGAATATCAGATCAATGTTTATATAAGCTTTTTTGTAGGTCTTGATGTCTGCTATCTTTGATATAAATATTTCCCTTTACTTAAGGGATACTATATATATATATATATATATATATATATATATATATATATATATATACAACTATATCTATCTATCTATCTCTCTCTCTCTCTCTCTCTATCTCATCTCTCTATCTCTCTCTCTCTCTCTCTCTCTCTCTCTCTATATATATATATATATATATATATATATATATATATATATATACAATAAACAACATAAGAAGAGAAGACATAATGAAGAACAACGGTGAATGCGAATATTAATTTTAATACTTTATAAAACATGTTATGTCTTATATATTTTATTTTACTGGTTTTTAGTCACGAATCCTGTAGCAATAATGAAATATACCGTAGTCGTTTCTTGTCTAAATTCAATTAGTTGCCTAATAACAACTTGACCTCATCTTTGGAGAGCTTAATTACCAAATTGTCCTGGACCCAGACCTACATAATACTACCTTATTTGATAGCCAAAAAAAAAAAAAGCTCTGACTTTTGTGTAGTTTATAATTTCATTTACCTTGAAATCTATACATGTTTTATTTTTGGTTGTTAAGTTAGATCAATATTGCTTTTGCAGAACTTCGTCAGCATAATCGTAGCCTGTTTTTAGAGTTTGGATAATTCTCTAGAAATAGAAGATAATTCTTGTTATAGCTTGTATCATAGTTCAAAACATCATCTTTAGGCAAGAGAGATAATCGTTATGCTTAGTTTTAGTGTAAAAAATTGGGAGTAAAATAACTATAAAATAAGTGGGAGTAAAATAACCTTCAACTAAGTGTTCTTAATTTTCCGATAGTGAGTGAATTTCTATTAACTATTTCGAAATCAAGATATTTCATTGTATGCTCTCTTTAATATTGCAATCCTCAGCCTTAATAATGTTATAAGGAATTCAAGATCTAAGATTGGTGTGTATATCTACGCAATTATTATATGAACCTTGCCAACCGTTGAACAATGCCAATGAATGAACGATGCCAACCGTTTAGAATATTTCATCAAAACATAATATACAATAATTGTCAGTTTTTTGGGATTATTCATCACCTCTTCCTGTAAATCAGCTTTAAATTATATACGGTTAGGGTATTGTTCGGGTGCTGAAACAAAATGAAAAAAAAATCATTTTATGCCAACGTTTAGGGCTAAGTTTCAGTAGATCTCTTTAATGACTGTCTTCTTAATGTTGTTTAGCTTCAAGATAATTTTATTTAGATTTTGAAACCGTAATTTCAACTTTATTGAATTATGGCGTCCATCCTAAAGTACGGCTTTACAAAACCAGAGACAAGCGCTTAAATTAACTCTATTGAATATATTAGGGAATTACTTATATCCGTGATACACTGTTTAAAGAAATTAATGATTCTTAATCACTTTTCAAATTTGTTAAAGATTGTAGAACTTTAGATTGTCAATCATTCCGATGTCATAATGATATATTGTTGATAAAAATTCTCCAAGTTTACATGGAGTCAAACTGGTGAAAAAATCAGCAGCGAACGAACAGCTTTTATACTATAAACATACTTATAGACATTTAGTATGTGGATTTAGAGCTATGGATATGCACATTCATAAGAAGCAAGAACATTTTTCCTTGCATCCGATTATATTCCAATAGGGTTTCTAATTTTATTATAAGTTATAATCAATAATAAAATAAATGAAGTATTGGACCAATTTTTATGACCTTCCTTAAAAAAGGTTAATTTTCATTATTCATTTTACTGTACTCAGGTTTCAGCGCACATGGAATTTTTTTTCAAATTTTAATCTACTCTTAAGTTTTAAATGACTATGGATTTTTATGTCAGTACTCCAATTTAAAAATCAAAATAGAAACTGAATTAGAACTTACGATACGAAGATTTATAATTTTGATGAATATCTTGATCACCTTTTTCGTCTAATGAAATCAGCAATAGTATAAAATAATTAAGATATAAACTTTTACAAACTGTCATGAGTTAGTTTATGGGTGAATAGTTAACTATTCAGAATGTAGAATCTTAAACTGTCAATGAAATATTATATTATTTTATAAGGGTTTCTGTTTTGTAATGAAAAAAATAGACATAGATATATTTTATATAAATTATTTATTATTTATAAAATTATTTTAATTTAAAATAATTTACGAGAGCTTATTTACATGCGGTACAGATCTACGTGTCAGAGCTCTGGTAAAGGTACATTGTTTTTCACTTAGTGGTGGAGGAGGGAAGAGTATCCAAGAGAGTTTCCGTATCCGTAACCAGCACCGTAGGCAAGACCGCTCTTGTAGGCAAGACCTCCGTAAGAGAGGGCTGGACGAGCGGCGTAAGAGTAAGCTGGGGCGGCAGCATAGGAGACGGCTGGGGCAGCGGCGTAGGATAGAGTTGGATGATGAGCTACGGTGGCAACAGCGGGGGCAGCATAAGAGTAAGCTGGGGCAGCAGCGTAGGAGACGGCAGGTGCGGCGTAGGCTGCTGGGGCAGCGACGGCGACAGCCTTGTTGACGGTCCTGTAGGTGTTAGAGTAGGAGGTGGCAACTGGAGCATGGGCTACAGTGGCGACTGGAGCGTGAGCGACGGTAGCAACTGGAGCAGCATAAGATACTGCTGGAGCGTGGGAAACGGTAGTGATGGCTGGGGCGGCATAAGAGTAAGCTGGGGCAGCGGCGTAGGAGAGAGCTGGGGCATGGGCTGCATAGGACAGAGCTGGAGCGTGGGCGGCATAGCCGTAGGCTGGGGCGGCGGCGTATCCACCGAGGTATCCGGCGGAAGCACAAGCGACGAGGGCGAAGAGGACTGCCTGAAAAAGAAAGAAAGCTTATTATTGGGTGAACTTCTCAGAGACTTCAATGCTTGAAATCTTGGAGACTTTAATGCTGGATTAACTAGCTGTATCCTAACCAGCTGTAGTTGATATACTTACGATCTTGTACATGTTGGTAGATGTGTATTCGTCTCCTGGGATAGAATGAATTGACTTGGCTAGAGTTGGGTTATATACTATAGGCCAGGGCGGGGTAGGGGGCGTGGTCTCAAAGGTCACCCCCCCTTGCTGGCTGACCTCTTTACCTTTCTCTCTTCTGCTAGTTGGTTCAGTCGGTCGGCTTGTGATTTCGGAAGTCCTATCAGATAATCGACTAGCTTTGTCACCGAGCAGAGTAGTGCGCTTGCTACTTTAAATATTTACGGGACACCAAGCCGAAACGTTCTAGGTGTAATTTAGAAGCAGATTATTTAAATATGTAAGATTCTTGACGTGATAAGTTATTTTGCTGATCTGTTATTGTAATCAAATGTAACACATATGCAAGTTGTCTTCGACATTTTAGTTCATTGAATCATATTTATCCAACAAAATTATTTCCCTCTTTTCATAATTAAAGACGTTGTTAATACTGAGAAAAGAGTTGATTCATATTTCCACAAAATAAGTAATTTGATTCATTATAAAAGCAGTCATAGAGTAACAAAAGATGATTCATTTGATTGAAAATTTAATCAGTATCAGATCGATCCAACATACCTGTCATTTTTATCCCACTGATTAGATACGGAAGTACCCATATTTTATATTGAATTAGGTTGACCTCATTGATTAATTATTATCCCTATCTTATTGTGAACAACAATATTGAGCAATATTATCCATCTTTATAGAATGTTATAGATTTTAAATGAAATCTTAAATTATGGTTTCTTTGCAAAAATGTTGGTGATTAGTTGACAGTTTATTTGAAACGATAGGTATAATATAATATATAACTATATAATAGAATACATAGTTGTATTGTACTATGTATACATATACATCCATCCATCCATAAAAATATTGCACAAAGCAAATAAATTCATTTTCCATGGACCTAAACGTTAAGCACGATTTTGCGAATCTCGACGTTGTTCAATATTCTGATTTCATAGTAGAGCAATCCATGAAAATAGAAGGTTTATGCAATGAACTAACGATACATATTTTATGGATTAATTTTTTATATTATTTTAACGTGACGTCAACCATTTTGATATAGAAACAAGGAAACAATTTACAATTTATCACGGAATTCCACCTGTGTAGGTGAGTATAATTTCATTGTTTACGATAAATCAGAAAGGTCCATGCTGGCCAGCTCATTCAGTTCCTGTCGTCCTTCAAGATACCATCGATGACTAAGGTGCTGAATGAATTAGTTGTGTTCTACTCACAGGAAGAAACTTTTACGCAGTGTATACCGTTTGTTCTCACAAAATATTTGCTGTAATTGTATTTTTAAATATTGAAGTTTGTTTTTTAAGTTACTATGTAAACGCTAATATCAAAGTCGTAGTATATTTGAGTATTCTGTCGTGAATAAGAGTATTCTGTGAGAAATATGAATTTAATATGATAGATCTTCCTGACCAATGGAAACTTGATGAAAATTATATTGAATCATTTATGAATTCAAATTGTAAAAAATAGTAACTTCAAAATCAATTAATTACAATAGTAAATAATCATGCTCAGTGAAATATTTAGCGTTTGTGTTAATAGCAGCTCAGATACATGATTCCGTCAAGAGCATTTTCAGGATTTGATATTTTTAAGATATTTTGATTTTCAAAGTCATATTAATTTATATAGGGCGTAGGGGGTACGCCTTTTCGGTCTAACGGCAAACCAATCCCATTTTACAAATTATATAACTGGTCATTTAATTGTGCTACTCGTTGCTCAAATCGTAAAATTGTTATTTACATGTATTGTAATATATTGTATTATATTTCAACAACATAAAATAAACGGAACGAAACCACAGTTCGGACAAATTCTTAATTTCCTTAAAAGTCTATATATTTACATCGCGCCTAATTGCCAATTTATATTCTTATATGAAACCATGATAAGGGAAAAATACTTCTGGGAATTAGGAGTGTGGTGTCTTCTTTAAGGTTTATAACTAAAATAAAGTATTTCATGGTCATTATTAAAAACCCTTTTATCTGATAGAGAGAAATATTTCCTTTATACCTCTTGACGGATCTATTAAAAATGTATTTATACAAAAATACAATTGAGTCCCAATTTTACAGTTCCAAATATTAAAATGTTCGTTTCCGACTGCTCCAACACTTACTACACAAACGCTCTAAACTTTCAATTAATTACAAAAGACTCATCTACTTAACCATAATAAGACCTATATGGACATACGGAGTTGAACTTTGGGGTTCTACCAAACCATCGAATTCCTATCGTATTCAATCATTAGATTCCAAAATACTTCGTAAAATCCTTAATGCCCCATATTTTGTCACAAATAAAACCATTCATAAAGACCTTAATGTTCTATATGTCGCTGATCTAGCCCGAGCCAGATACCTATCCATTTATGATAAACTCCAGTCCCATCCAAATCCACTTGTTTTCAGCCTCGCTTCTTCCTCGATTCCTGATAATCCCCCTGTTCATGTAATTATTTCCAATTTTTGCATTTTTACTAGTTGTATTGTTTATACAGTTGTAAATTTCATTATATATATAAAATGTTTCGAGATAAAAGATTGTGAAGTCTAATTTCGATGCCTCCCAATAATCCTAATGTTCATTGGAGTTGTTTTTTGTTAATTAAATACACCCTTTAACTGCCATATTTAACACCTAATTTTGACCATTTAGTTAACTAATGAGAAAATAAGCTACTCCCAGATAAATTAGTTAAGGTTTAATTAGTTAAAAAGGAAGAAATTAATCAGACAGACATCTGCCAGTCAGCAAGAGCCGACCTTGGCCGAGTTGGACAATTCCTCCAGTTGAGCGAGACGGAGAGGCTAACCCGCAACACCGATCCGCCGTGCGTTCTCTCTTCGCTGTCGCAATGCTCTGTAATGCACCACTTATTATCCGTTTAATGGTTGGGCCTGCCCACTTGAATTTTTTTTTTAATTATGTTTAATAACGTCTTGCGGTTTCAGTTCAAGTAGGAAAAAGAACATTATTAAATATAAGGAAATAAGAAAAGGCAAGAAGATGATTTAATATATTTAAGCACGATACCATTTAAACATCATCATTGCCAATAACTTAGTAATCAAGGTATCCCAAAGGTGCCTACCTGTAAATCTTTAACTTTAAATAATTTCTTTTAAGCTGCAGGTTTTCATTAAGGATGGATTAAAAAAAAATCTTAATTTATTTAGTTGTTTATTTTACTTTTATTTTTATTTTTACTTAAGTGCATATATATATATATATATATATATATATATATATATATATATATATATATATATATATATATATATATATATATATATATATATATATATATTACTCTTCTTATAATATTTTATTTTGTTCTTATTTCTATGTATTATTTTTTTATTACCTTATTTAATTAATTTATTTATTTGATGTTGTATTATATACTGTATATACGGTGTGAATGTACTCTCTGAACTCTATGATAAGTTTCCTTAACAGAGATAGATTGTAATCATTCTCAATAAAAAAATGTAAAAAAAAAAATGTATTCAGTACAAAAAGTAATAATTAAAACCTAACAAAATTTAGTTCTTTAATTTTTTTTTTGTCTTCAATTCTTCATCCGCACCTGTCATGGCAATGACAATTAGCAGATTTGTTGTTAAGTTGAAAATGGCATGATAGGCATGACGAAGAATGGTGCCCAGCAGCACCTCTTCCCCGGTCTGTTTACATCCTAAAATCAGGAAAGGAGATCTCTCATCCAGCTCCTTTTCAGCCGTGGCTGTTAAAATCGATGTTTTTTTAAACATAGGAATGTCTGGTTTGTTAATACATTTGCTTACTTTTTATTTATTTTCAAAAGTCCACGACCAACTATAAGAATAATCACCCACTGAAAACCTATTGATGCAATTTGTTAAAGCACCTTAAGGAAATACATAAATTATATGTATCCAATGGTACTTCGATAAAGAAAATTAAAACTCCTTATTTCTTTTAACACTTTATTTCCTTCATTGGAATTACAACGAATGCCCAGTACTAAATATTTTTTAATCACATTCAATTGAATGTATGTTAAAGTACGAAGTCGTGAGCAACAGATAGTAAAATATAACATTACCCTTCTGAATACAAAGGTATTGTTTTAAAAAAAAAATACAATGATTAGAAAAAAAATTGAATGAAATTAGAGAAAAACACTGTATAGCATCTATACCTATAAAAAAAGACTAGTTAAATAATGTTTTAAGTAAACCTATGATGAACGTTATTGAAGTTTTGCTATCGATAGTAAGGTATTAATAGGCGAGTGAGAGAGTTGTGCTCAATGGCATATCTCAACAATGGAGGTACTATAAAAACATTAATACGGAATTAAATAAACTTTAATGAACAAAGTTCTTCAACCATTCAAACATGATATTATTTTCAATCGCTTTATTCGGAAATCTAAAAGATTTAATCGCTAAGCACTAATAAGTAATTAGAGATAACGATTAAGAGACAGGATTAAGAATTAAGAGACAGGAAAATTTAGTTAACTTAATCCCATAATAATAATGATTTGTGTAAAAAGTACGAACTCTTTGAGTGATAATTTGAATGAATGAAAAATCTCCAAAAATATTTACAATTACAGGAGGTGCCACCTCCATCACATTTTTTTTTTTTTACACAAAGAAAATTCAATGATAAAAAATTACAAATGCAGAAGTAAATCTGAGAAATGTTCTTTTTCATGTAAAAAGATAAACGAAATGTTATAAAAAGGAACAAAGACAAATAATAAAATGTATTAACTTTGAAAATATTAAACTCAAAAAACGAAGTTAAATGAATGCATAATTAATAGAATTCAAAAATGGTAACAATATGCTATGGCTTCTTATGAAATATTAAAAAAAAAATTAAATAAAAAGCGATATATAATATAATAGAGCAATACAGGAAACATGAATATAATCAGCCTAGAGCTTCTTAGTCGAAGATTACAGAAGAGCTTAAAGTTATAAAGGTTATA